CTCAGGAGCTTGCCGCTGAACGCTCCTCCAAGGCGAGACAGGCTAAGGACCTGCAAGCAAAGGAGCAGGAGCTAATACACACAATGAAGTCATTGGCTGCTTGGCTGATTCCAATCTGGCATTGCGGTCCTTCAGTCAGGAAGGTGACTGATCATGGTTGGTGCTTTCGTATGGGAAGCACATTATATACATGCCCAAGAATGATCAGTCCTGAAATGGCATGCGCTGTAGAAACCACAGCGTGCTTGGGGTCGAAACATTTGATCACTCAATATGCGTTCCCCCAGCACTGAAGGGGTACATGAGTCACAATGAACGGAACACGAATCAATTGTTGCTTCATGTCTGCTCAGTTGCCGAGGCAAGCACGAAGTCCGAGGAAGAAAAGGCCAAGCAGCAAGCTTCTGCAATGAAGACGGCGTTAGCATCGGAGCAAGCGGAGATACTGCTGCTCGGCCATCGTATGCTTTGGAAAGAAGTTTGCAATGTTCGCGGGATGATGAGACTTGAGACCTTGCAAGGATGCTTCAAGTGGCCCTTGTCACTTTAATCCTCGCCCTTGCTGCTGGTGTCAGCTATTTGTATAAGCAGCCAGCTCCACCACCACCAAAGAAGATGACCGAGGAGAAGGCATGATTGTGATGGTTGGGCTACGTGCCCGCGCCGCAAGTGGAATCATGTCAAGTCGTTGGGACCTAGTTGATATATATATATATATGTATATATGTATATATATATACACACACATATATATATATATATACACAGATCATTTTCTACACTGCTTCCTCCGACAGAGAACTCTGAGAAAGTGAACTCTGAGATGAACATTCGATCAGCCGACTGTATGTTTTCGGAGTTCACAAGCGGAGCCGAAGGCCATTGACCAGTCTCCTCTCAGCCGGCATATAGATGTCGAAGTGCAGGCGGATGCTCCTTGGCTTCACCTCCTTCTCTGAAGCTTCGTTGAGATTTGGTCGGCCTTGCCTTGTATCAATCTTCAATACTGAAATCAGAGACAGGAAATAATCGATGATCATGGATGTAATACATGTTGAACTCCTGTGTTGGTCGTCAAGACCTTGAACTGAGGTGAAGTCAGAGCTAAAGGGCTCTTCGCCCTTTGCTACACCACGCACATCCCCGAGGGACTGGCCTAAGCCAGTGCCTTTCGGCTTGGGTGGTGCAGCGAACATCCCCGAGTTGGCCTTGCCATCCCGCTCTGGGCCTCGACTCTACTACATGTCTCCCCGGGCGAAGGCAGGACACGGGGGCATGGCCAAGGGCCCGCAAAGGGCAGAACAAAACGAAAGAGAAGACAAACGTTTGAATGAACGATTTAGTTGCCATCAAAGCCTTGAATTGAGAGCCATAGGAGATTAGTCAGGACAGACCCGTAGATGCTTAGGTTGAGAAGGGGTCTGACATCATAAACCACCCAGTTCTGCCATTGCAATTGGGACAGACGCCCTATCTCGGCCATGCATGGGTTTTGGGTCTTCGGACTTGCAGGAAGAACAACTGAAAGAGCCACTCCTGGACCACTGAGTTAGATCGGGCATTGGGCCGGCGCCTGGTTTTCTCGCACTTTTGCAGAGCCGATTGTCGCAGCCGTCGACATGATTCAGCATTCAGGGACTTGAGGGGATGCTTTTGCCAACCATCATTGATGAATCAATATGAACACCAGGCCTCGGAGATTTTTGAGTTGATGCCAGTTTAAATGCCCGGGCATCAGGAATTCAAAGTTCAAAGGCCTGACAAGCTGGGAGCAGATTTGCCGAACCCGCAAGCTAGCAGGCCGAACGACAATATCGTGGCTGTCACGGACTTGCCGGAGTTTACATGCGTTCAGCTGGTGTCCAACATAGTCCAACTCCACATTGCAATAGTCAACGCTGTGGAGTAGTCCTCTTCACCCAAGACTGCAGGGGAAAGGAGTATGATATAGTATGATATCACACAATGGAAGGAAACATTGCAGCACTGAAACATAGAGATTATGAGAGACCCAGAGCTTGGGTGATTTTGCCACTGCCTTTTTGATTCGGAGGACATCCAAGGCTCAGTTGTGGCGGCTTGAGTTCCGCTCTGCTCGGCCTTCAGAATTCAGTCCCTATGGCCGAAGCTGGCCAATGGAGGTGCTTGCCCGTTTTCGTAGGATCTTGGCGGTTGGACCCACCTCCCTCGCCTCCCTTTGGCAAGTGCTGCAATGTGCTGCTCGCCGCGAAGGAGCTGGCCGATTTTGCGTCTTCCATCAGGCAGCCTTGTCCTTGTCCTGCCATTTCGTCAATTGGCGCGAGGTGGCAGTGCTCAGCACGGGAACATGACATCCTCTTGATTCGATTGATCAGGGGATGCCCATTGTACAAACCTTGGGGTCAAAAGTGCGACTGAGGAGGATTGTATATTGGAGGGAGCTTTGCTTGCTTGCTTGCATGCTTGCTTTGTTTGGATGTATGTGCAAGATCTACCAGATCCATTAAACATTTGCCATGCCATTGTTGTTCAGGTGTGACCTTGGCCTTCTTGGTTTCCCACGCGACTTGGCAGCCAAGGGTGGGATCGAATCTCGCGTGTAAATGATTGTAAATGCCGGCTGTAGTAGGAGCTTTTAGGGTGATCCAAGGTGCTTGGCCAAAGGTGTACTATGAGAGCCAGGCGGTGGAAACATGGTCGCCCTGGTTGGCACAGACTGTTGTTAGTTGGCAGGTCTTACGGTCGTTGCTGGGGAAGAAGGGATCATGCCCAGCTGGGCGTGTGGCGGTGGTGGGCCAAGCAGAGGCACCAAGCTACGGAGAAATTGGGGAGGAATGATGAGAAATGGACCCGGGATGGCTCGGCAGGTGACAAAGTACTCCGCGGAATTCACCAAGGCTGAGCAGCCTGTGAATGACAGAGATGGAGATGACCAGCGGACTTTGTTGCAGGGGACTGTGGGGGAATTGAATTCCTGATTTGCACGGTTTGTGCATGTTGGTGTAGTTTAGTATACTGCAATATGAATAACACAGCCGGCACAAACGATGTAATAGGCCATCAAAGCATGCTAAGTTTGCGAGGTGGGAAGAGTTTGCCATGCATGCTTCCAGACATGCTTTTGCACGGTTCCTGCACATTTCCCAACATACCAGCCTCATGTTTCCCAAAATTGTTCCAATAGGGTAGAGGGCTAGCATGGAAATTTTTATATGACTGATGTGTCCATGAACACTCCAAAAAACATTATTCCCGGGTGGCTCCCACATGATCCCCACCTAAGGGAGGAGCCATAATATACATTCAATCTTACTTGCCCGGCAGGATAACTTTACTTTTGGTAGGATTTAGTAGGCACCACCTGGCAAGGACAATAATCCATCACAGTTCAGAGTATATGGCTAGCATCTCCGAATACAGTTGGTATATAGTTCAACGTCTAGACCAGATATCATTGCGGGCCCTTCCAAATCCTGGGGCGTAGGTAGGTACGTCAGCTGATATCCGAAGTCAGAGACCTCTCGAGGCCTTGTTGCCATGGCAGGGCCGCCACAATGCCGAAGCAGTGCAGCGAACCGCTGGTCTTCAGGTGCCGTCGGAGCAATGCGGTCGCGACGAGTCGAGCAGAGTCGAGCACCTTTGAAACCATGGAATGAAGAGAACGCGAGAGTGAGAGAGAGAGAGAGAGAGATGTAAAGAAAGAAAGAGAGGAAGAAAGAGGGCAAGACACTTTTACCAAACAATTGTCCTTCCTTCTAAAGCCAAGTGCTTTGAGATTTGCTGACCGAAGCCTCCGGGTGTTGCACACGCTTCTAATTTCTATCGGCATAATGGCCTCAGTATTCCCTGTATCGTGAGCACTCCATGTGTCAAGACGATGGCTCAGCAACGGGGTCGAAAGATGCGATCGGCTTGTTTTTGGCAGCCTCTGTGACGTTTGGGATGCTCCAAGTCTGACATGGTCTGGTTTTGTGACAATCCACTCGGCCTTGGTCTTGGTGCCAGAAGCTGGGAAGGGTTCAAGCTCAAGCTATGGTCTGTCGCGACTGCAACCATGGCATATGGTATCATATGGTTGCAGTCCGAGAATGTCCGAGACAGTCGCGCAGCGGGTGAAGGTACAGTGAACTCAAGCCCTCGAGACTAGACCGTGCGCTATGGCTTTTAACAAAGCACTTCCACAGACATGACGGTTGTGCATGAGCCGGCCAGCAGGGCCCAACGACGTGGTGCGGATTGCGCAGGGGCCGAAACGCAGTTAGATACATCATTACAACCCCTTCACCATCTCTAGCCTGAGGCAGCCGGACAGGGCTGCCAGGGCTGCATTTCCTGCACTTTGCGGAAGCTGAAACAGAAGGAAGAGATAGAGAGAGAGAGAGAGAGACAGGAACTTCTCCTCACCGTGTCCCTGTGGGACGGCTGCGTTGTAGCCAGACGCTGCCGAGAGAGAGAGAGAGGAACTTCTCTTTAACTGGAACTCAGAATTGTGTAGCCCATGAAGAAGCTTGCCAACAGGTTGTGGAGGGCTGGGCGGTCTTTGAGCGGCTGCAGCTGCCTGAGGGCCAAAGCTTTGTTGCCCTCAGGTATTCTTGGCCAGATCTCTCAGAGAACGCGAGAGAGAGAGAGAGAGAGAGAGAGAGAGAGAAAGCGCGAGGGAGCGAGCGAGCGAGCGAGCGAGCGATTGAAAGAAGATGATAAGTGTTTGTCAGAAGTGAGGGGCAGGAGTCCAAGACTTAAATTGAACCTAGATGTCTTTAGTGGCTTAAGATTGATGAGGACTTGTGCCACTCCACAAGTGCTTTGGACTTGCACGGTGCAATGCAAACCAGAGCAGAACTTAGATTTGATCTGTATTCTACCCTGAAGGAACGCTTTGCCTGATGGCAAGTGGATGGACTTCTCGTCACAGACTTATATAATGACATAGTGTGCGTTGGCCCGTGCAGCAAGCAACTAACTAGGTATACTCCGTGGTGCTTGACAATTGACAGGACAAGCTTGTCGCAGCTACTTGCCCAAAGCGATGGCACAAGACATGAAAAGACATGAGCATCCTTCAGTTTGCTAGGCAGATCGCACAACTTTAAAGATTTCGAAAGCGTTGAGCCCCTTGAGCCATTGCGCGCTTGCGTTTGGCCATGCTGGTTGGCCTGAAGCTTGGGGAACTCCAAAGCACCCGCAAGCCTCAAGAGCCTCAAGAGCCTCAGGTCACAGAGCCAGAGGCCTTCGTCCGAGCAGAGCCTTCGGAAACGGATGTCGATCATGCGGACCTGTATGTAGCAGATGCCAATGATGCCGACACTTCCATGAATTCCGAGCGTACCTGGAAGTCCTTCGACTCTTGGACGAAATATCCGAAGAGCGGCCCTTCCAATCGCTGGAGGCATGAAGAGCGGGCTCAACGGATGGAGAATTTCATGAAGCTGATGCAAGCACATCATTCAGGATTCAAACGGCTCATTCATCGTCGACGATTGGAGCCGCATGAGAGCTTCGACTGGTTTGGAGTCTTTTCCTTCAGGTGCCATGCATGCAACACTGCAACAGGCAGTTCTTGATTGGATGATGAGTCCCTTCCCATTCACCAAGCCTGAGTTCGAAGCGCAGTGCTCACAGATGCAGCCACTGGCCTATGTGTCTTTGACAAGTAGTACTGAGGCTTGATAGAGCTGATAATTTTTACTGGAGCAGATGGTTCTTTCCACAATGCAAGTTTTGCAGTTTTAGTACTCACCTTTGAGAGGCTGTCCTAATTAATATCCTAAACACCCCTGGTGTTTGCGATTATCTTTTCGTGCGCAGGGGATCCATACCTTCGCTCCAGCAGAGAAATGGTTCGACGCCTTTGCACAGTTCTTGTGATGCTTTCTTGATTGGTTAGAGGTTGCCTGTGCCAAAAAGCCAGGTGTCTGCTTACTCTGGTTCCGAATCTGGTCGTCAGGCCCTGGCCAAGTTCTTGGCAGCAGATCCTGCTGGCAGAATCCACCTGTAAGGTGCCACCCTGAAAGAGTTTTGGATTTGGATCCAAACGGAGCATGGTTTTGAACGGAGCATGCGAGGCTAGACTCATTGGATAAGTTGAACTCGAGTCGAATCATGCTCTATGCAGGACAAGTAGGAAGTGGGACAGACAGAGTAGGAAGTCGAACTCCATGGCGGATTTGCTTGACTTCCTTTGGTCGCGACTGAATGTTGAAGCATGATTGAAGTATGTTGTTCTAACACCTTGCTCCGGAATTTTGGCATTTCCAGCCTGCAGTCAGCAAGAAGGTTCAGTGCATAGTCCACCGAAAAATCATTTGTTGTTTTCTTACTGTGATTTTGGCTGTGAGACAACTGAAAAAATCATGTCTTTTTACTCAAAATTGGCTGCAAAACCACTGAATGGTCCACGTCAAAGGTGTTCATTGTGCAGGTGTCAATCCCACCAAGTGTTTTGCAGAGCTCCGACTGGCAGCTGGCCCTGCACCTTCAGCACCTGCACGGAGTGCCCTGGCCAATGCTTCTGAATGAGGAGAGTTGTAGAACTGCGGAGACAGACATTGCTGGTTTCTAGCAGCTGCGTAGCGGAGTTCACTTGAGGCAAATCTGCAACCCTCAGGAGGCAGGTTGCCGCTGTTGCGAGCTAGCCGATAGCTTTGCTCGCCAAGGTTCTCACGACGCGCAACCGGAATTGGACAACTTGAGGGAGGAGAACATGTGTGCAATGTTCCCACATGAAGACATGAAGGCAGTCTGCCAGCACCAACTACTGCACATTCGATGTCGGAGGAACTAAGCAAGCAACCGACCAACATACCAACATAGTGGTGGAACGACCAGCCAACCCCCGAAGCCTCAAAGGAGCTCGCCCAAGCCTTGCGGGAGGCTGATGAGGCTTGCATGAAGCTGCGACAGGTGGAGGCTAAGGCCGAGGCCGAGGCTGGTTGGATCCAGGGCTGGTCACTCTGGCATCATCGAAATCACATAGAAAGTCAACCCCTTTTGGCTCAAGCCGCGGAAGCATCGTCCCATTTCCATCGTCTCTTTCCCAACTCCACATGCAGCAATGGTCGACACGATGGCGGCGGAGATGTGCGATAAACTGGAGATGACCGTGTTGTATGAGCCGGAAACTCACACCATATGCTCAGTGGTGAGAGATGCAAGCAGCCACAAAGTAGCAGTGGTTGACTTGGTGGTGGGCTTGGACTCTCCATCCGAAACACCAACACTCAACATGCTGACCAGGTGATTGACTTCATTCAGCAAAACACATTAGAAGTTGAATGGGTCTTGGAGACTCAAGCGCATGCTGACCACTAGTCCACTGCGCCGAACATCCAGGAAACGCTTGGTGGCAAGATTGCCATTGGCGAAAACATCGAGCTTGTTCAGGAATCCCGGCCCACTTTCAGAAGGATGGCTCTCAATTTGGCAAGCCGTGACAAGCCTTTTCCGGTGGAGAAAGTAGGCTTGTTCAATCCAGCCATTTGCTTTGACATCCAGTTGTACCGGAAAAAGCCCAGGTCCCAGCGTCACCTTTCGTAGGATAGCAGAAAATCATAGAACATCACTGTTTCGCCCCGGTTGTTCCAGGCAGGGCATGGCAGGGATCCAACTACCTGTGACCATGGGCGGTCCAGCACAGGCACAGCGCAATTTTGGGGTCTGCCCCATGCATCACCGCAGGCACTGCAGCGGAGAGCGCCGAACGCACAAGCCCAACGACTCGGAGTCATCTACACATGTCAGCCACACACTGCATGTGTGCTATTTGATTGGAGACGCACTCTTCACTATGGCGCTGCACGTTGCGACTTCTCAGGAGGGTCATCGAGAAGGCTGTGCCAATCCAATCCGTCCAGAGGATCATGTCACTTCCAGAAGAGACCCACGTCCTTTTGGGCCACGACTACCTCGCAAAGGATGGCAGGAGGGCATAGGGATCAAACAATAGTACATTAAATAGATGTACTGTATGTAATGTAAATAGACATTATCCAATCAAAGAAAGAAGAACAGGTTGCCCAATCAAAAAATAATCGCCTAATCAGCTGATCCCTTGGTCCTTTGGTCCCCTCCTTTGGTGCCCTGCTCCTTGGGCCCCTAGTCCTTTGTTTGGTCCTGCTGCTGCTGCTGCTGCGACTACTACTACTGTACTACTACTACTCCTCCTCCTCCTCCTGCTCCTCCTCCTCCCTCCCTCCTCGTCCTCCTCCTCCTCCTGCTGCTGCTGTCCTACTACGCCCACTATTACTACTATTTTACTACTCCTCCTCCTCCTCCTACGACGACGACGACGACTCCTACTCCTACTCCTACTTACTCCTACTGCTACTGCTACAACAACAACTACTACTCCTACTACTACTCCTACTCCTACTCCTACTCCCCGTCCTGCTCCTGCTCCTCCTCCTCCTGCTGCTGCTGCTGCTGCTATCACTACTACTAGTAGTCCCACTACCACTAGAAGTCCGAGTGCGGAATATTTTTTTGATGTGTTAGTTGTTACATATTATATCTTGAGTCTCTCCCTTCCCCAGTAACAGTCAATAAAAAGTTTCTTTACTTGGCAGCCATCCAGAAATTGCACCATGGATTCACGTTTTTTCATTTGAAGATTTCAGGGCAGCCAGGCATTGGTCAGCGGCAATGTTCATGTGTTTTTGGAACGCTTGGAAACCTGTTTGTTCATGTGTTTCTTCGTGCAAAAAGTCGTGCTCCAGATTGTGCTCCAAATCGTGCATTCTTCGTGCAAAAAA